CAATCAAAGAATGAATCAGAAAAGTCTTGCCATCATTACTATGTTAAGATTTCATTACACATATTAAATGTAAATTTTAAAAAAGTCCATAAAATGTCATAAATATATGAATTCATTATTAATAAATGTATATTAATATTCATACATTTATATTTTAATGTAATCATAAAATGGGAATATATATAGAAAAATATTCTCTCAGAACACATATGGTATATTTATTTTTAAACAAATCAATGGCATTTAAAAAGTCAAGGACTTAAAATTAATATTCATTAAAATGTTGTCTTGATTATATTTAAAATGTAAAAACAATAGGTTTCTTCATTTTGAAGAAGAAGAATTAAAAATACAATACGTATTTGTATTCTTAAATTACAAAACATTAACTTTTAATTATATAGTAATTAAAAAAATTATACTTAAAAGAAGTTTTTATTTTTAAATTTTTTTTTATCCAAAAGTCATCTATATAGTAAGTCTTAAGCAATAGGTCTAGTAATTATTTTTTTTAGCACACGTAGTGCAAGTTATACAAGCGATACTTTAAAAAAAAGAATACTTCTTTCATCTATTGTAGTCAATAAGAAAATTTGGATGTTTAAAAAACAACTGATTAATAATAGTTAATAAGTAGGCACAACATATATTAGTTTCAGTATTTTATTTTTATTTATAATGTGTATAAATTCCCACGATCTTTACAATTTATATTAATCTAGTCGTAAAAAGAAATAATTATTAAATTAAGGCGTTTAAGAACCAATCAAACTACATTTATCGCTGAAATATATTTTTCTCAAAAAGAAATTAAAAAAAGAGAAAGAGATACAATATTTAATTATAAAACAGGAAAACTAATTTAAAAAAAAACAAAAGAAACACATTAATAAAACTTAAGTTTATTCTTCATATTGATTTATGGAACTAATTACATGTAATATCCATACAAAATTATGCCATTGAATTGTTATTTATGTTGTGTCTATCTATTTTAAAGTTAATAATATTTATATTCTAGATTTGATGGGATCTAATATTAATATAATTTAATAATATTTTAAGTGTTTCATTCAAATGTCAAACATAGTATGTAAATTAAATCATTGAAATCATCAAAAAATTGTTATTTCTATATAAATAATTTAATTAATTAATTTAAATTAATTAAATTAATTGTTAATCCATACATAAACAAATAATAAATGACAATATAATAATAAGAAATATATTACGTTCTTTTAAATAAGATAGCTTATTACACCTGAGTTAATTCAAGTTATATTTATAGTAAATAAAACTCTGTTAAAACAGTATAAGTCAAAAATATAGTTTTTAAATTTTAAATTAAAAATATACTTTAGTAAATGTCTTCATATATGTATATTCATAAATATATTTTATATTACATATTTTAAATTAGTTGAATATAATGAGTATTGAGAAGTATTCAATAAATGTAAACCATGGTGAACTGGTTTACTCAAATATAATTACATATAAGTATAAATTTATATATTCATAATTATAATCAAATTAAGTACAACATGAATTTTTATTAAAACTAAGATAACTTAAAAAGTTGGGCATTGAGTAAAATTTACTTTTAAAAAACGATCAATATTTCTTACTTGAGATATATTTATTAGATATTTCGATTATTGAGTTGACATATTTTGAGACTAACCGATTTTTTCCTAAGCTATTTATGCAACACATATAAATTTAAAATGTTATCTTTTTTCTATACCATTGGAATAACGCTTAATTTTAAACCAACAGTTACAGAAAATATTTTAATTTATCATAAAAATAGTTTTCTTTCGTTAAAAACGTTATTTTTTATCAACTATGAGGAGGGGAAGGGTTTATACCGTAAAAACATACTGTACATAAGGCATTTAATAACAATAATAATAATTTAAGGGGAATTAAAGTGCTGAAAAAAGCTTCCAATTCATCAATAATATCCGTCATTAGAAAAAGAAAAAGTATTATAAGTAAATACACATTTTTGACGTTTAATTTGAATTTTTCATAAATAATATGGTATAAACACGTTATCAATTGGTTGATTGCACATTAATTGCTTTAAAGTAAACAATGTTCAAATAATAGTATTTTTAAGTGTATCAAAAATATAATTATATAACTCTAAAAATTATTATACAAATACAAACGTCACACCATTGACCCAATCGGTTATAAATAATATCTCGTTGATTAATGTTTTTATTAAAATATTAAGTTCATGAAATAGCAAATTAAACAAAAATCAAATGTATAAGAATAAACGTGACAAATACATATGCACGCTAATCTCAATGTTTATAGTTATATTATAATGATTATACGTTTTGTGGGAATTGTGTTGTTCAAATCTTACTAGGTAATTACTATCAACAATCAAATTTTAAAAAATAATATGAATACGAAGAACATAGTAAATGTATCTAACTGTTTATAGCATTGTATTAATTATAAAGAAAAATAAATCACAATGGATTTGGTTGGAACACCTGACGAGTTGGCATAGCGAAGAATAAAACACGAATAATGCAAGTTAAAAAAAAAACAAGCCAATACTTTGGATTGCAATGATAATAAAAAACAATAGCCAATTATAACAATAAACTATAAATATGGATTTTATTCGTTATGGTTTACATTTTTAAAATTAATAATAGCAAAAAGAAAATCCTGTTTATTTTATATTCTCGTTTAATGATAGCCATTATGTCGTTTTCATTTCATACACATTCAGGATTAACAAATATTAAAAAGTTTTAAAAAAGTGTTATAACGATTAATACAGTGATATACAATTTGAATTTAAATTTGGTAATGAAATACTGACAAACTCCAACGCTACCAATCGTAGAAATCGATTTACAAGGTAAAAAAATAAAATAAAAATCTTACAAAAAAAATATTAATAAGCCTACATGTATTATGTCATATTATTTTCAAAATTAACTATAAAAAGGAAATGCTTTATATCAATATGATCATTACAATTTTTATCTATCGATAGTCACGTCTTTATATGCATGTTATATTATTGTATATATTAAATATTATTATTGTTATATATTAAATTATACGCCGAACACAGTCGGCCATGCTAAATAACGACTTGCGTGTACATTGAGTTGCACATCTAACTGGCTCAATATTAAAAGTATAATATTCTAATATATATAATTATTATTGGTTTACTGCAATATTATATATCCATATACCTTTATATAATATTAATAAAACCTTTTTCAGTATAGTATCAGCTGTTTGCAATATTTAATATTAAAATATTAATAAAATATTTTACAACATAAGTTATTTTGTATTATAGCCGAAATCAAATTGCTTCAGGTACAATTACGCATAGGTACAATATTTTTGCTGTCAAAAATGCATTACAATTTCAACATAAAGTATATCCCAAAATGTTCATTTGGTTATCGGAAGAATCACAAAACATTTTATAACCATTAGAAAATTAAATTTTATGACACTTTTATAGAAAAATCAGAATTCATAAAATTATGGTTTTTTCTTCAAATTGAACTGAATACATAAATATTGAATATTCTATATACTAATATGTTCGGTTTATGTTTCTTATACAACGTTAAATAAACTAGATTTATTTTTTTTTTTTTGGATTGATTAATCTTAGAGCCGTTAGATATACTGATATTATACGTATCACTTACGATATTTGATTTAGTGTTTTTTTAATTTCTTAACAAAACACACAAAAAAAAAAGATTAACTTTTATTCATAAATTGCAAGCATTTTTTTTTTTTTTTTTGCTCAGTCCTTCATAATTAACCAATTTTTTGCATTAAGCTGAAAACAGTTTTTTTTTAATTTTTTTTTGTATGTGTCTGAATTGTTATACTGAATATGCACAGGTTAATAAAAAACTAACGATCTGCAAAAATCTGTATGATTATCGTGTTCATTATCATGGAATATTATCACAATAATAGTTACCAAATAACAACACAATATAATTTGTCTTGTTGGGAGTACTAATCATGGAATAATAATAATAATAATAATAATAATAATAATAATTGATATTAATAAACATGAACTAATTAACTATGTTCCAAGATTCTAAAATCACATCCGGCTCGACCACCATCAATGATTGTTAACAAAATATTTTGTCAAAAATGCTATCTTTCGAGCAGAATATTGGAATAGAAAAAAAACGATTTTGATGAACTTAATTTCATCCGATTTTTTTAAATTATCATATAATAAACTATGATTTTTGTACACTTAAGTTTCAAAGTAAGATCTTAAAATAATACTATAACAATTTGAATTTTAGTAAATTAAAAGAATTATCTATTTTAAAATATTTTTAGTAAAATCAAATGTACAAGAAATACGAGAGAATATTTCTTGAAATTATAACACTAATTTCAAAAATACCAGTCCAGAACTTTTACTGTAATTAAACTGATACTTAAACCATTTTTTTTTATCGATATTGTAAGGAATTATATCCTTCGATATATTATTTATGGAATAATAACAGTAATATATGCATTTTAGATCATTGTCATTTCTTTTCAATTATATCTACATATTTTATGAACATAAATATTTTTAGAAATTTTGAAAATTAACAAAAAATAAGAATAGTAAGATTGTTAATAAATACATAGAACATGAATTGACTAATTTAAAGCATATATCGATAATATATATAATATAATGATATTGATGTACCAATAAATATTATAGACTTTATATGGCTGAATGGAAAGCTGAAGGCTAAAGGAAAAATTTTAAACAATAAAATTATAATTATATACACTATATATGTCATACTTGACATTCTAAATTCTAAAGATGAATATCTATAATTATTTTAAAAGCAATATACCCACGTCCAAATTTGACACTCTATACTATTCAAAATACAGTATATTTACTACTTCATAATTTTATTTACATAACGTTGGATTTAAGAACTTACCTTCCATAACATATACAATGCTGCCTACATCTCCTTCTTTAATAATAACACTGTCGGCAGCATACTCAACGGGATACATACAGTCCACTATTTCTCTGATCTGTGTTGATTCCAAGTTTTTCATAAAGTCGTTATCCAAAATAGCACCTTTGATCAATTCTCTAGACCTAAAAAGTAAACATTTATAAATGAGATTTGTTTATTTTAAATAGTTTATTTATATTATATATAGAAATTAAATAAAAAAAATTTAATGTTCCAACATCAGTTTTACACGTCTCAATTTAAAACTGTTAATTAATATATATATATTATATATTAATATGTGTTGGAAAGCTAAGTAATAATATTTATATTTACAAATACAATTAAATTATTCATCAAAAAGTGGTTCTTAATATACAATATTATTTTCTTTAAAAATGGCTTCTGATAAACAATTTTTTTAACTTATCAAAATTGAATTAACTGAAATCATACATTTATTTATTTGTTTATTTATCTTAATTTGTTTAAAAAACTCAATATTTTAACAATAAAGTTTTTCATGTTTTAATTTTTATTAAATACTTCTTTTCACGTATAAAACTCTAGATAATATACATATCAAAATTATAATTTTTCAACTATTTTTCAGTCACAAACTGAAATTATTCTAAATCTTTGACGTTCCGAGACAGTAATAAATAAACTGAATAAGGTAATGTATATAAAGTAGCTCACTAATAATAAGTTATGATTGGTTAATAAATTTGATTTCATTTAAATAACGAAATTATAAGATAGAAAAATAATAATAATAATATGGAATAATAAATAGTGTTAAATAAAACAATTATTTATGTTTTATATCTTGACAACAAAATCCTTTTATGTTCCAAATTTTAGTTAAATCACTATAAAAACAAATAAATCGTCCTCGTTTTCTTACATAAACACACGCAGGAGATGGAGACAAGTTGTAGTTATGCCAGTATATTATTATATAAATGCACTATATATTACACTATTAAAGCATTATATTATAAGAAGCTTAATCACCAAATGTAATTGTTAAATTGAATTTCATTAATTTTTCCACGCTATAACGCTCTACAATTTCAGTGAAAAGCAATAGAATATTATGTAGACATTTTATAGCGTATATTAAAGTAAGATAGTAAAGTAATTTAAGTTTGTTTTGTTAAATTTAATATTAATTGAAATAAATCAAATATTTTAGAAATAATTAAAGTGAAAAAATATTTTTATGAAAATTATATCAACGAATAATTATTTTAAATATATTATTAAACAATAAATTATATAAACTTGAAACAAAATTAGGTTCATATAAAAAAAAAAAAAAATTACTTAAACAAAAATTGTTTTTTAATATACCTGTATTATATTTGGAAATAATAAATAAAATAATACACTTTAAGTTAAAATTATAACGTACCAATCAAAGTTAATAATTAGGGATATTATAAATTTTTTTGGGTTCTTATCATTTTTATTAAATGGAACATACAAATATTTAAGAGCACTTATGTTTACTTCAAAAATAAAATCATTTCAATTCAAATATAATTTTATTTACAACCAAAAATAATCCTACTTTATTATAATAACACTAGTCACTAACGAGTGACAACTATATCAAGGCAAATGGCAACAGACCAAAACAAACATACTGGATTGTTTTTTCTATAATCCTTTGAAGTATATGGCGTAGGTAGAATTAAATTCCAAATGTAAATAAATGTTATTGTATTTTGATTTGTCATTGCAGTTAGTTCAAAGGTTCAACCAATAATAAATGTTAAAAATAAGATTTCCATAAAAGATAGTTATTGTTAATTATTTTGTAATTTTGATTGTCACGAGAAGTGGCATTAATTTATTCATACTATACTGATTTAACGTTTATTCTTGAGATAATTTAAGATAAAATTATATTTAGGTTATATCTGTTATAATTTATAAATATATTAAGCCACTCATAAAAAATAAAAATCTCAAAACGTAGAATTAAATTAAATTCTATCAACCAAAATGATATTATAAATATCCTATCAATATTTTTTATAACAATACACAGTAAAAAAAAGTTGTAAATAATCATTTATCAAAATATTTTGACAGTTGAACTATTGAGAAAACATGACTGACAACAACATTATATTTACAAATTGAATATAATTTTAAATAGGTAAGTCTTATAAAAATAAAAATGACAATTGTTATTAATAATGAGCGAACAAGGTAATCTAAAAAAATGTTTATATTTATTTGATCGGGATACGGTTGTTGTAAAAACTAAGAAGGTCAATCGATCGAAGATTTTACATGGATTTAAACCTTCCAAGGTCAGCTTCTAAATAGTTATAATTTGTTCACATCACGTATTTTGCATCAGAACTTTATTTTTAACACTTCGACAGTTCAAGTTTAAAAATATAATAATTTGTTATTTGTATCGAAAACTATCGGAAACTAGGTTAGTTAAAATTATTTAAAAAACCGGATTCTAAGAATATTCAATTAATATCTAAATTTTAGAAGTAAGACAATATACATCATTGAATTGCTTGTAGTATATAATATAATATTCATAAATTATTTTGTATAAAAGGTGTATTCCTTATACTCGTGTAGTCACTAATTTTTTTTAAAAAAAAAAGCTTAAGTGTAATAAAATCATTACATGTACCTATTTAAAACTGTGAATAAAACTTAAAATTATATAGTGTTTTCCAACAGCCATATACTTTGAAGCCTTCTAGGTGCTTTCACATTAGTAATATCTCTATTTTAACGAATAAAATATAATACACAAGCAAGTTGCATTCACTTTTAATTTTTACTTTAACTTATAATACAAGATACACAAATGAACTAGTATGTAAAGCAGTCTAGTTCCATCATGTAAAATACAAAACATTATAGGATATAAATTATATTATAACATGGATTAGCCATTATAAAGCAATAATATATACGTTTTTTATTACTACAATATTTTTTTTTTTATTAAGCACAATGTAAAAGCATAGATAGTATGAGGCATACTTTAATATTTATTAATAACACTAGGTTTAGCATTATATTATAAACACCTTGAATTATTAATTAGTTTAAGATTTAAGTTAGAATTTAAGTTGACTGAGTTCAGTAAATAAAGTAATGATACAAATATTACAACGAAACATCAATCGTCAATAAAAATAAATGTTATTTTTTCGTCAAAAGTTTATTTGCAAGTTACAATAACTACTAACTATGCAATATGTTTATAAAACGGTTTCTTTGCAAACATTAACCATCAACCAATGAATAGTGTCATCAGTACATAAACACTGACTACCGTTTCCCTTATGTAACCCGTCACCGATTTAGGAATATAACATTGTACATTTGCATTCAAGACTCTTGCTCACTTTCCAATGTTATGTCGATTGATTCGAATAATAATGATTTTTTACCAACAATAATACACAAACAAATAAACGGTCAAATGAAAATACGCTTTAAATTATATTTAGCCCGAATAATATATAATAGTATCTATACACATTTATGAAAAAATAAAAGTTATTCAAAATGAAAATAAATTATTAGACAATCATTAGAAACCGATACACCTTTATAAATGCACTACGTTTACGAAGTCAATAGAAATCAAAGTGTGTTTTAATTTATACCGGAATATTAATTTATATATACTATACGGCCAATGTCTATACGAAAAAAAAAAAGCGTTATTAATTTAGACACGCACGTATATTTCGACACTTCGGTCGTTTCGAAACGCACGGTTTTCCATGATTTTGGCCATGCTTGTTTACCATGAGATTAAAATATTTCGATTAAACTCTCCGCGTCCAGTGAGAAATACAGACGAAGTCTGAAAATAAAAGGTATCTGTTTGGATCGACAATGTCTTGTCAGTCGAAAAAATAACAAATTGTACGGTTACGTAGTAGCCACGCGGAGAGGGTTGGTGTCTAAACCATTGTAATAAACAAATGGGTAACAAATGGGTCGTTCGCCTGCGCCGCGGGTACAGTGATCAATTTTTCAAGGTGACGTTGAATTTCAAAGACGAACGTATACAAATATATACAAATAACATATAAACAGCAGATAATAATAATTATAATTGTGTGCCCTAGGCACCAACAACGGCAACAGCAGATCGCGTAGACTTACGTACTGCGGTGATGTTACATATAAATTGTGCAGTGTTTTGTTGGATGCGTCGACAGCGTGTTTTACATACGTATGGAGTTAAACATTTGTGTGGCACAATAGTTGTGAAGTTAAAACCCGGAACGTGCGCGTGTTGCAAACAATATGCGATATGGGTTTGTATTGCCACGATACAACAGCCATTTTGCAGTGACGTATCTAACCGACATTTCGGGACCACAGTCGTCACCGGTAACATCAACGTGTGGACGGACGGTGTAAAGTATGTGCACGGTAGCTTTCAAATCGAACATATTATTACGAGATTGAAAATCTTAGAAATCGATTATTTATCACGGTTGTAAACATTACACGCATTATTATACCGGTCGCCTCGAGTATTTGGTTCAGGGACCCTTGGGTCGAAAACACACACGGCACCCGTTTGTTCGCCGCAAGAGGGCACAGTGTGGGCAAATAATTATCGTAGTTTCACATCGCCAGACGGTTTCATGTTATGATAATAGTGAAAGTTTCGATTGAATTCTATCGCGCGCGACACATCTACTAGGCATAAAAAAGCGGCGATCGATCAGACGACAAATTTAATGTATACCTACCATCCGCCTACTTGTTGCACACAACATGTTACATCTTATTACGTTGATGTCGGGTACACGATTTTTATTTCGCGCTCATTAATTACACCGACAAGCAGACGTCCAACGATATGCGATACATCGACAGCGATAATATACTGATAGCAGACGCGAGTTAATTATGCAGCACCACAATCGTCATTGCTTACAAGACTACGCAGGGGGTTAAAAAGAACAAAAAAAAAAAATCATCTTGTTTGTTTACAAGTACAACCTACATAGTATTAAACGAGGAATTCGTTCTGATACGAATCGTATAAGGCATGAAAATGTCGAACTTCGCCGCGACTAATTAGACGCACGCAATACATGCACATTGCTTGATCTGCGTCAAGGTTTCCCTTGGTTTTTTTTTTTTTTTGTTCCATGCAAATAATATAATATCATAAACGATTTTTCATGTTCCAATATCGAGCGAACAAACATTGTGCAAATGTGTTTGGAACGGATGTTAAGATGTCCGTTTTTTATCCGATCCCTTAAAAAATTAAAAAATACACAAAAAAACCGTACAGTTCCCTTGGTAATTATTCGAACCACATATATGACAAATCGTTGTATAGTATTCAGAGCAAAAAAATAAATAAATTACGAGTTCATTTTTTAGCGGGCAAGACGGATGTTGCTACAAAGTAATGAATTCTCATTTACCGTTGAAGAAATGAACTGATTTTACATCGGTAATGTAGTCAAACGTGTTATTTTAATCTTAGTGTATTATATAAGATTAACGGCAGAGAGAAATATTGACGGTCATCACATCCGACACCTGTGATGTATAGAAAATACCACGATTATAATTTATAGCCTATAGATACGACCAACCAGGATCGGTTTAATTGCAGCGGTTAACCGTTCATTTGACGTTTAAATTTCAAACAGTACTTAATTAATAACGCAGTTTTGTACACTACAATCTACATCTGCGGTAAGAATGAAGTGGGGACACGATTGTACTAAATACAATATCAAGTCGTAAAAGTGTACAGACACGTTGCGCAATACGTTAAGTTTTTTTCATTAAACGTTTTTTCCGAGTTTCGTGCTTAATTACATTGACAGTAAATTAATTACATTAGTAGTGATGAATATCGACCACACATATAACGGTTCCGGTCGCGGACACCTACTACAGAAGCTCTAGACGTGTTCGTTAAACGCAATGGTACCCAAAGCACGTAATACACAAATTGTCCGTGATCTGCAAACGAGCCGAGGGCGCGTGTAAAACAAGAATTCGTATTACGAATCAAAGCCTTCGCATTAGAAACCTGAAGGGACTGACCCGCACACGTGTAAACTCTTTAGACTGTTCGCGTTCGACAGTTGCATATCGCAGCCTTCTAGAGAACTGCTCGTGAGAAACGGCGCCCCGGTGGAGGGCGGTTGTCACGGAGGTGATTTTAGGCAGCGGTTTTATTACTGCGGCGGGGTGTGTAGCAACACTCACTTTGTGGACTTGGGAACCTTGACGATGGGCAACGGGTCCGTGGTCCTGAGCGGTTCGGCCGAGATGGCTTGCCGGGTGGGACGGCCCTTGAATGACGACGCGGCGGGACCGACGAACCCATGATGGTGGCCACCTCTGCCGTTGCAGCAACCGGCGCTGTGCTCCAGATAATCGTCGGCCATCTGCATAGCCATGATGTGCTGCGTGAGCGGCCGGACCACCTGCTGGAACTTGTCGATCTCGTTGCGCAGGTGCCGCACGCTAGCGTCGCGCTCGTCCAGCCGGTGCTCCAGTCGAGCGATGTACTCATCCTTCTTCCTGGACTCGGACATGCGGCGCGCCAGCTCGCGTTCCAGGTCCCGCAACCTGTTCATCACGGAGGTGCTCATCTTGAGCGCTTCCGCGGCAACGTCGGGGTGGAAGGACGTAACCGAAGGGATAACACGCGGTCAACGGAGCGCGTTTAAAAGTATTATAGGTCGTTTGGTGCGACGAAACGCGACGAACGCTGTACAACACGGTCACTTACGGTCGTTGCGGTCAGGAAAACGCGTACGTGCATGTATACGAACCGGCTGCGATGCAGTGCGCGCGTGCTCTACGGAACGACGTCGACGGCGGTTGTTCACTGTCGCTTTTTTTTCTCTCTCTCTAAAACTGCGTGTAACCGGGTCAAGGCTGTAAATGATGATCAGTTTCAATTCCACACACGGTGGCGGCGACGGCGGCGGCGATCACCGCACGTCGTCGTCGTGGACAAGGTCCTCCAGTTGGAACGTGTGGCATAAACCGGCCGCGGTCGAACCGATTGTTTCGCTGGATAACGAGAAAACACCGTACAACGAATTCTGAGTAGGGCACGAGAGGGGAGGGAAAGGGGAGATTCAAAAACTCGCAGCCGTTGCACAGGGGTTCCGTTCGTTTTTTCGACACATACGCCTATTATTTTTAACCGCGGCTTAACGAATCACCACCTGGAATATCATATAGCGAACGACGCATGCATGGTACCGAGAAAATAAAAAGGATTAATAATCGTAAAACGCGTGCCGTTGACCACATCATCGCACGTACAACCAACAACAATTAAATTATATTATTTACGACTTGGCGAGTCCTTTTCTCGACGACGGCTTTACGCGTGTAACGAGCGACTTTTAAAAGCCTTCTCTCCTATATTTAGATGCTTTATATCCGCGTAGGAAGCGCTGGTCTTACGTGTACATACGTATACACATGAAAATAGGTGGTATACGGGGAGTCACACGTAGCGCTCGGCGATGGTGTCTGTGTGTACAGCAACACCGTGGCCGTTCCACTACGGAAAAATTATACGGGTGCTTTGGTCGAAGCGTGCCAAAAAAAAAAAAAAAAAAAAAAAAGAAAGAAAAATCTAAGTATTAGAATTAATTGGCGTGACTGGTGTCGTTGTCGCACGGAATAGAGGTGTCAAAATGTACAAAGTTCGAAAGAGTTTGTCCACCTACGATCAACTAAAAATCTGACCCCGGTGATAACTTAATATTTTCGTCAGCATAGTCTTGTATCACAAACACGCCACGGGGTAAGTGAACCGAGTGAAAATTAGCTGCTTTCGCGAGAAATTTACACTTGATTCGAAACCCACCGGTTGCCACTGTTCCAACTGCATGACATGCGCATACAATGTATATTATATAAGAACAATAGAGCGATAGGTATCGAAAGTACAAATTATTCGTGTTTCTGATTTCGTGTAGTGTAATACGTTATTATACAATCGAAAACCGAACTGCATGTGACACGTGAACATTATTACCTCCAACCGTTTGGGTACTACGGCAATGAACATGCAACATAAGCGAATAAAATTCACAGAATATCTATACTGTATTCAAAAACAATAGAATCTTCTACAACGCCGTTGCATTCCCTAGCATCTCATCTGAATAGACTGCATACGACCGACCATTCAGTTAATAAACACCGAGTGATTGATTTCATTTTTGTTCTGAGTTTACATTTTTCCGTTGAGATAAGATCGAAAATTAGGCACCGCAAAGAAAATTAATCTACGTAATACTGTATTAATCTATTACTGCAGCTATTAATCCCGCTCCGCTACACAAATATAAGCGTTGATCATGTAACATAGTAAATTAGTACAATATTCTAAAACGAAATTAAATTGATCTAGTATATTTTAGAACCGATGATACAAGGTTTAGGAAAAGTCAATGGGTATCCTTTAACAGAACGCCTTTCGTACCTATTAAATAATCGCTACGAAGTGGTAAGCGCAGAATACGTTATACGGTATTACAACGAATGGTATAATAATATCAAACACGTTGCAATATATTTATATATATATATATATATAAGAATTATTAAGAATTATACATTGCTGACAGTATTTACGCACGAAGAAATATTAGAAATTGTACGTAAACCACAGTGAATATAGTACGGCGGACGACGATGTTGAAATCAACCGTTTTATCGGTTGCAAGACGAACTCGCCCAACTTGTTGGACGAACAATGAAAAAAAAAAAAAAAAAAAACACGAAACGAAACGATTTATATACGTGTACAGAGCACTGGGCTTCGGAGGCGACGTCAGGCGAATCGACGGGGCACGGTGACGAACGGATGATACGGACACTGCACTCGGGGCGGTTGCGCACGCAAATACGGCGCTGGAAACGACTGCGCGGTCGAGATTGTTGTCTACTGTCGTCTGGGACACGACGGGCGTGACGTGCCGCCGCGGTATCTCCCCCCACCCCCGTCACACCCAGGACGGCGACGACCACCTGAGCTTCAAGGTGGGCACCCACGGGGAGACGCGGGCGCGCGCGCACGCTCGTTCGTTACCGCCGCTCAAGTCCTCGGTCGCCACCGCCCAGCCGGTCGTTGCGCGCACGTACGCGCCTCGCGCTATCCTACAACTGGTTACGCGCTTACGATTATGTTCTTTAAACGAATATTTCATTCACGCCCGAGAAAACGCGTCCCTTGTACAGAGGAGACGGCGGAGCGTAGAAATTCGCAAACGCGTAGGAATCGACCGCCGACTGGCAAAGAAAAAGAAAAGAAATCGAGTGACTGGAGCCCGTAGGTGGTGCGTGATCTGCAATGTGACACGTGCACGAGCAAGAGGCGTATACGAAGAATTCGTCAAATGTTATTGTGTCGTTGAGTGCTCGTTATGAAAGAATGGCAGGGAAAAAACTAAATAATCCGGCGACGGTCGAAAATACGCATAAATTATACACCGTAAACCCGACAACTTAACGGGTTTAAGACCTACGGACATATTTCAGTTGCACAAACCATCGATGAATACCCGAATTTCAATTCTAGATTTGATTCGATGTCTATAATGGTAATCTCTAACGGTAACGTTTTATAAGGTTAGAATATAAAAAAAAAAAAAAATGAATTAAGAAAACAACTATTAATCCTCAAATTTTTCTGTTCGACTTCAACGTACATAAATATGTTAAGCCGAATTAACGAAATTGCCGATTTCATAAAGTCAGCAAAGCTACTGTTGAAAGTTGAATCAATGTATTTGGTAACCATAAGAACATAAAACTGCAGATTGGATGAAATGTAAGAAAAATTCTGCCTAACTCATGAAATCAGCAGAAATGAATATAATTTTTAAAATATGTGACTCGGGCAATTGGAATTCTCATTGTTATTTATGACTAAAAAAAATAACTGTCACACCTATTAACTGCTAAATATATTGACAGAAAAGTGCATTTTAGATTTTATTTTCAGAAAAATTGTTATAATTAATCAAAGTTAAAATAAATACTAAGTTGTAACTATTGGAAACATTTTCCATAAAATAATGAGTTTCTATGTAAATTATATTATTTTTATCTTAATATGATTTTGTAATAAGACATGCGAAAGTAATAAAATATGCAATCAACTTTCGTGATAAGCATGAAACGTGCGTTGACTTTTCAACGCGTGTAGTTTAGGTCAAATTTAATTTATTTAGCCAAAGTATTTTGGCAGATATCGAGTATTTATAGTATATGTATGTTGATTCACAATAAAATATCAATATTAATATTAATAAAATATTGTAAGCAGACCATTAATACATTCATTTTTCTATACTAAACATGCAGTGCCGTAATTAGAGGTTGAAAAGGTAGACCGTCAAAATAGGCGATTGCTAAGATCACAACAAAGGAAGGGGCGCATTTGAGTTAAATTAAATTAATTTTTTCTGTATAAAATAAGCGCCAAAATCAAATTCACCAAGGGTACCACGTAGGGTAGTTACGGCACTCTAAACTTGTAAAGAAAAGATATCGAATGAAATATAAATGAAAAAATATCATCTACATAGATTTTTAATCTGATTATTCAAACCTTAACCTAAAAATATCACCAAAATCTTCCTATGACTGTCAGCTATAATTAATGTTCCATATGTATCATGTGTTTGTGCCAAAAACAAACATTTTCATTTACTCATAAAAAAAACTGGAAAAATTTGTTTTTAAATATATTACAATGATTAACAAGAAAGGTTATTAATTATTAGTAATGAATCATTACAGTTGAATTCAGACTTATATAGAAAGTTATACAAGACTATTGGTCATACTGTAACCATAATATCATTCAAATCAAAATAATTATTATAGTCATAAAATCATAAATTATAACTTATAAAGAATATTTTGCATATAACATTGAACTTTCTACATATCATAGATAATTTAAATAACAATATATAAATTAATGAGTAAACATTTTGATGGAAGTCATAAACAACAGATAGAAACAATGATCCAGAATATATTATGAGGGATAACCTTAAAACTCCAAAAAAAAACTATTGTGTTTAACATAAGAAACTATAATTATAGTTCTCCTTTTAGTTACCTCAGACAGTTTTGAGATGAGAACTGATCACAATAAACTATTAAAAAATTAATATCCCTATATTGCACGTATAATATAACAGTACGTTGCAACGCGTTGGGTCGAAATTTTTTTTTTTTTCTGAATCGCAATTGCAATAGTACGGAAAAATTGCAGTTAGGTATCCTAAATGAAGGAAAAAAAATCAAAAAAATCTAAATTTATTTCTTCAATTCGTGCAGCAGCCTTAAAGTTTGAAAAAAAACAGTTAAAAACTAAAAAAAATGGCAACTTCAAGAACTTAAACTGAGAAATAAACTTAGATTTTTTTAATTATTTCCCCCTCGTTTAGGATACAAAACTGCAACTTTTCCGCACTGTTGCTATTCCGAAATAAAAAAAATCATTTTATTCAATCCAACGTAATAGACGCAGACAAAAAAAGGCATAGCTTCAATTCACTTAAGAGAATGTCACACTCACACTTTTTGTCTCCGTCTTACAAACGTACAATATACCAAATCTGAGTTCAGTAGAATCAATTTTGTAGTATTAGCTTTAATATTCGAGAAAACTAATCTATGGTGGTTTTACTATATTTTAATTTTTATTAAAGTGATGTACTTTTTTAAATTGTAATATATTACATAACTCACTTAAAAAATTAAAATATGGTAAGAAACCTATATTATCACACAGATAATTGTTTCCCTTTAAGGGTCCGAACGCACTGCGGTATTTTCGCCGTCGGGTCCGAACGGTTTTACCCGAACGGTTTTTACGTTCACACCAAACTACTATATTTAGATGGACTGCACCGCACTCGACGGTTTCGCCGTTCTCCGCCATCGGTCGCCGCAACATGCTGCGGTTTGACGGCGCTGCCGTTGTACCGTTCGTAAAGTAAGCACATTGTTTCGATGGGAAGGAACCCACTGTGACTATAGTCAACGGTTAATTTTGTAATTTTGCATATTTTTATATTTTTTTTCAAATTCACCAAATGCTTCTGCGACAGCAATCACTTTAAATAAATTGTCATAATCATTTAACTCCATTCTAAATAAATTAAATGTAATATAATAAGTAGGACTATGCATTAAATTAACTAATAATTTAATTTATAACTTACTTACATGTATTTAGGTGTTTGTGTACAAATCGTGGTACGTAGGTATAAAAGATTTAAATTTACAGTGTTAGATATAGTGAAATATAGTAAATACAGTAGATCACAGACTATAGTAGTTGGTTAACCAACCACTGTACTATCAACTATCAATATTCAATTTTCTTATGGAAATTAGAAATTGATATTTAGCCAGTTTAGGCGCGAAAATTGAGTGATAACACCTATTGTATTAGCGGTAAAAAATCGCAGTGCGGTGCGGGTCGTAAAA